GCTAGATCGCGTCCAGATTTTGCCGCATTACTAGTAGTGAAAAGGGATTTGAATTTCTCGACCTTACAGAACGTAGCATTTCGAGGTTGTTCTAGCAAATTCAAATATCCTAGTTAATATCTTGTGTAATATCTTTACAACGTTACCGCATCCTTAATGTAGTAGAAGTAGTAGAACGGCGATGCCGTTTTACATTTTTGCCGTTTCTAAAAGTATACATAGAATTATCTTTCTAAGCCTTCACTACTTCAGTGCTAATATATGGAGCATATACTTATGAGATTGAGGTTATAGATGAATGTTACATATGAGCAGGAATCATATGTCTAATGATACTCTTGTGTTCGTATTTTTCAGCAATTGGTACACCTACTCCTACTGTTGCTTTTTTGTATTTATCAACCACGCTATATATTAGCTCGTGGTTTGGCACTTTAATAGTTGAATGAATGTCCCGGAATTCCAAAGATATACCTTTTTACTAGGTATACATTTTTTACCGTACACACCCCTGTACATACATACATACATCCATACACATACGTGTTGATAGGCAGCTACTTGTTACCCTATAACCTGTAATGAAACAAATTTTATCAAAATCTATGCATATATCACACCAATGAATGTTAAAACATCTGTTTCAAGTCGAATATTTATTTATAGGCTTCACTAGAATGAAGACCTCTTAGCTACGCTAAGACGTGATACTCTGAAGCAATGTCCAGGACGATTGATAGCAGCGTAATGAGAAGAGTTTGCAGTCACAGATGGGAGAAACAGCATTCAAGAATTTTAAAGTTTTATATAATCTGATTATAAACATTTTTTATAAGCCTAAAAAGTTTTGTTGTAATTCTAAATCATTTTGGAGTAAAATTTGTCATTAACATAATTCTCAAGAAACGATAAATTTGCTACCTACTTCAAACACTTATAAGCTAAGAATGGTTTTATTTTTCAATTCTAACCCGTCTTCTAATCCTTCTTTATAAAAGCCAATAAATTGAAATCAATGACTTTTTTAATATTTCACACAACTTGACCATGAACATTCTCCAAGATGAAGAAGAAAAAAAGTATTTGGTGTAACATGAAAGAAGATTTATGAAGGATATAGTTGAAAAAAGTAGCCAAAAATAAGTTGTCTATCCATTTAATTAAAATACATATATTACACAATGTGTTTCAATTAATTCTAATTCTAAGTAACGCTGCTCATCATTTATTTTTGCCATGTTATTTTATGGTGATTACATTTTTTTGATGTTGAATAAACCATTTAAACGTTAATTAAAT